TCGACAATCACAATTTTCACAAAACCCAATGAAGATATTCATAGTTCGTTGTGAAGGTACAAATCTAAACCTTACTCGAAGGTTGGCAAACACGATACACATGCAGTTACTAGTTGGAGTAGTTGCCATCCAAACACGGCAGACAATTGGTAGATATAAGCTATGGTTGGCAAATCTAGCTGAAAAGGTAATTGAAAGTTTAAAAGGAGTTAAAAGCTGAAAAGTTATAAGTTAGGAGCTGAAAACTGAAGAGGTATTAAGTAAGCTGTTATGTTTGAAAATGTTTGGTAAAATTAACTTTTTGATAAGCTGATAAATGTGAAAAGACAAAAAATGAGATCTTCATAAAATTTAAATTAATTTGTTTACATATTAAACTTTAACATTTTGTCTTCAAAAAAATTAACATTGTGAAATAAAATTATTAGTATAATCATGATCTAGTATTGCATAATGAAGTAACAATCTTGTTGCAAATCTCCTTCATCTCATAATAATAATAATAATAATAATAATAATGATAATAATAATGATAATGATAATGATGATGATAATGATGATGATAATGATGATGATGATGATGATGATGATGATGATGATGATGATGATGATGATGATGATGATGATGATGATGATGATGATGATGATGATGATGATGATGATGATGATGATGATGATAATGATGATAATAATGATAATAATAATAATAATAATAATAATAATAATAATAATAATAATAATAATGATAATAATGATAATAATGATAATAATGATAATAATAATAATAATAATAATAATAATAATAATAATAATAATAATAATAATAATAATAATAATAATAATAATAATAATAATTGCGGTGAAAGTTACAAATAAAGGAGAAGAGAAAATGATATATTTTAGTCGGAAAGAGTAAAGGATGTCATTTTTTTTATTAAAATAATAAAGACAAAGATGGAAAAAAAGTTAGGAAGCTACTAGCTTATTTTGGAAAAAAAGTAGCGTTCCAAAATAAACTCTTATTTTAAGCTACGAGCTTATTTTGTGAACATTACCAAACAGAGCTTATAGCTTATTAGTAACTTAAAATAAGCTATAGGCTCCTAAATAAGCTATGCCAAACAGAGCCATATATAATATCAGTGATTCATGTAAAGACATTCATGTTTGTCAAGTTTCAAATCTATGACCTTACTTGGAACTAGGTTGATAAACACAATGTTAGAAAATTAGTATTAAAATGACATTTTAAGTGGCTATATTGTGGTACAATTATTAGATAGGTCTATTTTTGATTTGGGTCGGGTCAAAGAGGATTCGGGTTCTTCGTAGTGAGACGAAGAGATTGATATATTGTACATTAAAACGGATAATGAGTGAATGAGAAATTGATTCTCAAAGTAGACACATTAAGTTAGAAAAATGAGGGAAAAAAGAAAGAGCTTCTGTCCCACATTAGTTTGGGAAGTGAATTTGCACCACTATTTATACAAGAGTCTTTCTAACGCTTATTGAATTGTATAACATAGAGGCTTTCTAACGCACTCAAGGGTGCAAATTAAATCCCAAAGTGCCTCATGTATACTGCCACAAATGAAATTTTGATTACTTCTCTCAAAACTCTTATCCTACTCATTCTTGCAACTTCTCTCAAAACTCTTATCCTACTCATTCTTGCAACTTCTCTCAAAATTCTTATCCTACTCATTCTAACACTTTTGAGAGGTAGCAAATAAGGTAGGAAAGAGTGTTTCGCTCGACTCGTACTAACCATCTCGCTCGACTCGTACTAACCATCTTTCATTCATCTTCGGTATTCTCGTCTTTCAGTTTTGAGATTATGCTCTAAGCAATGAATCCTTGTTCTATATATTTATATATATAGTTGTTGGTTGGAATTATAATCTGGAGGATTATAAATTCCATTTTGGTATATATATATATATATATATATATATATATATATATATATATATATATATATATATATATATATATATATATATATATAGAGGCGGGTTCAGGTGCGGCAGTGTCTTACGGTGCGGTTATTTCTTACGGTGCGGCAACACCAATAGTTCACCAAATATGCACCATCAACGTTAGGAAATACACCACACAAAACAGAGTAAACAGAGCCCTGCATCACCAAACACACACCATTAGGTGTGAGTAAAAACACCATACACTGTTCGGAAATATACCATTGGGGGTGGTGAGTTATATGATGTGTTTTTTTGAGTCTGTGGTGTATTTTGTGATGTTTTATTACATTTCATTGGGGTGTATTTTTATTACACTGTTGGTGCATATTGTTAACATTGTTGGTGTATTATGGAATTTGACCGCACCGCCGCACCGTAAGACCCCGCCGCATATGAGCGCTCTTATATATATATATATATATATATATATATATATATATATATATATATATATATATATATATATATATATATTTTCGTGTGAATATATATAAATATTATTTTGTGATTAAATCGACTTGGTTCATTGTTCCTACACACAAAACCTATTGAAAGTTGCAATTGGACCTAATTGTATTTTTAGAGGTAAATTGCACTATGAAGGCAATAATGTTTGACGGGTTCGATTAAGAAAATGTTGACAAAAATTAAACTCGTAATCTTTAAATACGATAATCATGTTTCACTCACTCAGTCACTCATTTCGGGGTAAATTATTATTATTATTATTATTATTATTATTATTATTATTATTATTATTATTATTATTATTATTATTATTATTATATTATTATTATTATTATTATTATTTTATGTTAGAATACGTCATTCGATCAATTCATGCATACTCAAAAAGTATAAAAGAGTTTTATTAGTACAAGTGTAGACACTATAAGAGGGAAAATAGCATTTTCATTTAGATTATTGTGTATTTGTGTTGTAGCATATATTGGATCATTATCCTTAATTATTTGGTTATAAATTGTATGAAATTTTACTAGACTAATTTATTATTTTAGGGTTTAAGTTTTTATAATATTGTACAATTCGATATAATCGTATCATTGTATCATGCAAACCATCAAAACAAGATGCAAAACATTAATTTAATTTGAAAATATTCAAATATTTAGCACATATGTTGTTGGATATTTATATTGTAAATATATGTTTGAGGATTTCAAATATGTTACTAAACTTAAATAATATTTGAGGTGTCGTGAAGATAAATATTTTTTAAGTTTAAGAAGAAATTTATTAAATGTTATTTAATATTTGAAAAATGAGGAGAGAGAAAAATCTCATTGATTAACTTTAAGTAAGATTTGAGGAGAGAGAAGAATCTCATGGCTTACTTCATCGGAATATTTATGAGAAGTAAAAGGCGAAAAGTTATTTCCGCAAAGAAAGATCTGAACATTAGGAACCTAAAAGTTGATCCCGGAAAGTTAATACCCAATGTGGGAACCAAAAGGTACTCGATCAGTTCCGGAACCATGAAGTCCCTTTGGTGGTTTATGAGGTAACTTCTCGGTGGATAGTCGATACACATCCCAACGTCCTATGACGTACCGTACTAAGCACACCAATACACAACCCCACGTTATATGATGCACCACCCTCGACAAATATCCTCCAGCGACGCTCTCCAACCAATGCACATCCCACAGTCCTATGTTGCACAACACCTAATGCCCCAATGCACAACTTAACGACTTATGATGCACCCCCTCCTAAAATTCCAAATTCATCAACAAACCTAATCAAAAGTATACTCCAACGAATCGCAGAAAAAAAAAATTGCCCATACCGCATTAAATAATAAGAAACAATTAATAAATAGCTAATAAATCCTAGCCGTCAAATCTTACCAAATGAAGCGCCTAGATTAGACCACAGGTTCTCACCTAGAAAGCGGGTCTCATATGAACTAAATTCTACACACGCGCACGAGGGGATGCTATATATAAAGGGATGGGATGGGGTGGGGGAGGGGACACAATTGGCCCCATTGCCCCCTTCTAGATCTGGCCCCTAGGTGTGCATGGTGTAAACCTCGCTCGTGTAACAGTTTGCAAACCACGTAAGATAGTTAGCGCAAAGTTTATTTTTATTCAATACTTATTAGTGAGTGAGTATTAAACTCATTTTGGTAGGAGAATATTAGGACTCATAAGGTCGGTTTGGAAGTCATTTTTTAAATTTTCTAGTGTTTGATTTTTCAAGAAAAATAAAATCGTATGAAAATATCATTTTGACTAAAGTAAAAAAAAAAAAAATGCATGTTGACAAAGAGTCTTTTTCGAAACTTTTACTTAGAAGACATTTTCCAAATCTATTCCACATGCTTGACTCTCTCTTTCTCTCTCCCTCTCTCTAGGGGTGTCAAATAAGCCAGTCGACGCCCATAGTCATCTGTCTCGTTACTATTTGATTGGATTGAACTAGTCTGATTTGGTTAAAATTTTAACCAGATTAAACTAGAAAATATTGGTCCCATTTTATCCATAGCATTCTTTTTTCTTTAACAAAAGTTTAGTTATTTTCCGAACTCCCCATGCTGGGCATTCCTCGCGTACTACAAAGTATCCGAACAAGTTAAGACTGCAAAATCATTTTCAGGTAAAATTTAGCACAAGTTACAAAAACTGATTTACTAATTACATACTATTTTGGCCATCAGGCCATGCACATACATACACACAAATATAAAAGAAAGCTCTGCCTCATCCTCCCAAAAAAGGCCGGGAGTAAAAATGAAAAAGAAAGATGCTAATTAAGAGGTGGGAGATGTGTTTTATTTCTGGTGATGCATCTCTCGTCGATTAAACCCAAAAAAAAAAAGTTAATTTGTCTTGTGATTAATGACGGATCGTCAAGACAAGACGAAAAGTGCAGAGTAAAAAGACACCAAAATATTAAAGGTCGAAAAAGACGGTCAAAAAGTACTGAAATGACGGTTATTTTCATCCCATTCTTCTTACACAAAATCATGTAATCACAAAAAAGCAGAGAAATCAGCTTCAACTGCAAACTACTTTGTTTGGGAATATTGATGAGATTGTGTTTGGAGAAGACATCGAACCTATTCACAACCGTACGTTGTTGCCATCATGTCTTAGCTTAGTAGTAATATATAACATATGGACTCTCGTGGTTGTGTATTCCTTCGTATTCTGTTATCAAAAACTTTGAATCCTCTCCGTCTCTTTCCACCCTCTTCTTCACTATGCACCCTTCATGCGAGCACTTGTAGTAATTCCTGCTCGTATATATAATTACTTCCAATTAGTAACACACTAACAAATAAATGTGGAATGAAAAATTAGAGAATTGTCAACTATTATGTAGTGTGATGACACCTCTGTTACCATTCCAAATTGATGGTCACAGGATCGAATTTTGGTGGTGAGGGCACTGATTCATTTAACTTTAAAAAGATTGAAAAAATATAGAATGGATACTATCTTGCAGAGCTTTGATCTAGTAAAGTTTAATTACCTTGGATTGGAGTTACTTTTAACTTTTTTCTTCCCATACTTCCTCCACTTGTATCCATCATCCAAGATCTCAAGCTCAGTCTTGGTCCTAAAAGCAATTGAATGCCTCTCCTTCGCCTTTCTTCTATTCACCATCTGCCTCATGGACTTCCTGCTAAATTCATTTGTAAAAAAAATAATAAAAAGATTAATAATAATCAAAAGGAATAAATGAAAACACTAATAACTAAATAATATATTCATGTTGTACTATACGTCTCATTTTACCTACCATGTTTCGTTTCTTGATCGATAGATATCTCATCAGCCCGATCAATCTTATGACTTTAACTGAATCATTAATTTATATCTATTTGTGGGTTTAAGTGGATTATATAAAATGAGATAGATAGATGAAGATGTCCACACAGGCTTAACTCAGTGATTTAGTAGGCAGTATTTGGGAGAAAAGATCAAAGTTTGAAATTCGGTAGTGGCACTTGAAGATTATGTCCAAAGTGGACAAATCCTCACCAACATTTGGTCATATCTACTGAGTCACTAAGTTACCGTGATTTACCTTCTCCCACATGGTCTGTCGGGCCAGGGCGTGTGGGCCTTAGGGTTGGAGATTCAACCTTTTGGAAGAAGAAGATAGAAGAAATGGCTGGCCCGGCCGGAGAAATTAAATTTATATGATGAGAAAAGAAGAAATAATATAAGTAATGTTACTAACACTTCTTGCATGGGATAAGTAGTTGTGGGCATTATTCCATCAAAGCCAGAGCTGCCGGAGCTTGCAGAAGTAGTGCTACTCTTGTCTTGCACATTAATGGTGGGGGGAGGTAGTAGTGGGTGTGAGAAAAGAGATGAAGAAGAGGAAGAAGAAGAAGCAAAGGGGTTGTTATTAACAACATTGGAGTAGTGATGATCATCATTGAGGAGGGTATTAACGTAGGAAAGGTCGAAATCATAGTCATAATCTTGGAGCATTTCAGGGGGAAAATGGAGATTAGGGTTTGTATATGATGGAGGGGTAGTGGACATCATGTTTGGTCCAAGGAAATTAGGGTTCATGTTATTGGACATGGTTTTTTGAATGAAAAAGAAGAGGAAGAAAGAAGACTTTTGATTTGGGTGGCAGCACACCAAAGAATTTGAAGAGGTTGTTGTTTGAGACTTTGGATAATTATACTGCTTATATATATGTATATACAATCTTAGGTAGTATCATGTGATCCTTCCATCTTAGCTTCCTTGGCAACTTCCTAGCACAATCTATGCAGCTGCTAAATAGCCCTAGATTACGTGTCACTCCATGTCACCAACATGACGTAATCAACTTTTCATTTTCATAACTGCTGGCTGCACTTTAATTTTCTTTATTATTTTATTTGTCTCCACTTTATTTTAAAGAAAAATATACTTTTCCCCCTCCTAAAATTACTTTTTAATTTTTATCTTTCCACATGAATCACATAACGTTAGGCAACCAAAATAGTGATTTATGAGAGATTTTTACATACCTAAAAATTTGAAGATGGTTTTCAATAAATGGGGAGTTGGTTTCTGTCTCCATAGTGGGACCCACCAAGAAGAAAAAAAAAGTTGTGCCTTGGGCGCGTCAATCTGAAGCATTTTTTTAAAAGATTTTGTTTTGTTTTGTTTTTTTTTTTTTGTTACTTTTTCCTTTTACTTCCATCTTCTCTTTCATAGTCACACACTCACGCCCGCAAAAACTCAAAATCTATGCCTATTTACTTACTCTATTAAACTCTCTTTCATATTAATCTTTGCATGAAATTTTTTCATGAGACTTTCTTAACTTGTGGTGGAATTGATTGGGCAATAAATATATGGAGTTTTGTTTAAATTAAAAAAAAAAAAAAACCTTTTTTAAATCTAAGAAGTAAAATTAGTAAGACAAATTAACATGTTGGAAAAATAGCATTAAAATGGAATTTTGAGTGATTATTTTGTGGTACAAATATATGTGGGATCCACTTTCGATTTGGGTCGGATCAATGTGGATTCGGGTTCTTCGTAGTAAGATGTAGAATTTGATATAATGTACTCTCAAAATGGGTAATAGGTGAATGAGAAATTGATTCTCAAAGTAAACCTATTTATAAGAAGTCCAAAGTACGAAAGCTTAATAAATGGGAATTGAGTTTTAGCCCAATTCGTGTCCCTGCTTTGGGTCCTGTACGAAAGTAAGCTTAAGATGGCAAATTATTGTATGGACCATGGTCCACACAATGTTATGTGGACCATAACAAAAAGTACATTTTTAATATATTAAATGTACATTATTTTTGTACTGAATGTACATTATACAATATAATGTACACTCAAAACAAAAATAATGTATATCCCCTGTCTACAATATACATTATTTTTATATTGAATGTACATTATTTTTGTACTGAATGTACATTATTTTATAGTAGACAAAATATGGTCCACACAACTTGTGTGGACCATGGTCCATACAATAATGATTGGTGTAGTTAAGCTTTGTTTTGAAAGCTTAAATATGTTAATTAGTCTTAAAAGCTTAATTAAGCTTTGGAATTGGGAATATAACAATATGCATGGACGAATGTTGCATGGACTTGAGAGCTTAAGTTTCGTGCTCCTTTCGTGCTTATGTGTGAGCTCCTTTAGTGGCTTTTAGATTCGGTGAGCACGAATCAATGTTATATGCATTGATTCGTGTTGCACCGTTTCGGTGCTTGCGGACCACTCGGGTGTGGTTTTTGGTCCCAATGTGTTAAACTTTTGGGTTTGTATGGACTTCTCGGTTACTCAGATATTTTTGAAACGAGTCGTTATGGTCGGTACGAATTAATCAGATATTAAGTTCGTGACCGTTGATATTATTTCGATAATAAGTACGACCGTTTCAAACGTTATAATTCAATTATTAAATTGAATTTATGTTGATTAATGTGTCATGATGATGCTATTTAGTACCAATCTCCTATATAAACATGTTGTGGGAGCAACCTTTTTGATAGAGTGATAGTGAGAGAGTGAGAAATAACACAGAACACACACAAAGAAATTCTACTTTTCTTCTCAAAACTCTGCTCCTACTCCATTCTTGAAGCTGTGTTTTGCCCGTGCTCTTTTTCGCCGGGTTCGTTCGTTTGGGTGCTCAAACGTCGAACCGTTGTACATTTTATCCTGGGAAACCTAGGCCACAACGCTCCTATCACTTTTGGGAGGTGGCAAATAAGGTTTTAAGGAAAGAAAGGCTCTTCGCCTAACTCGTACTATTCTTTCTTCTTCTCCTTCTTTCTTATTGGATTGAAATTATAATCTGAGGATTATAAGCTCCAATTTTGGTTGATATATATTGGTATATCTTTTTCGTAGATATATACGTATATATAACTTTTGGATCCGGTTTATATATATTTGTGTGTATATATATATATTTCGGATATATATCAAATAATATTTTATATACTTATGTGTGTATATATAAATATTATTTTTGGAATATTAAATCAATTTTGGTTCATTATCACCCACATAACATTTTTCTTTTTTGCCAATCTTGATATCAAATTTGTGACCACTCATCATGTCACAAGTTATGCAACTTGACTACAAAACCGTTAGCTTCTTCTTCCATATTTTGTTTAGAGGAATTTGTCAAATTTTCTCAACAGTTATAATTTTAACCAAAACATTCAATTTTTTTTTTTAATTTAGCAAATTCATAGTCTTGGTCAAATTAAATTCGCTATTTTCAATTATTATACTTCATTTTCTATATTATACTCCTAAAAATCTCGTACAGAATTGCCATGAGTAAAAAAAAAAAAAAGTTGGTAGTAGATGTATAATAAGGATAAATCTCTCTGCTCGAAAAAAAAAAAAATCTTTTTTTGAGAACACTATTAAAATATAGTATTAGTTCTATACTTTCTTTATCTGTTGTAGCCCAAAATGAGATTACCTAACTGCTGGAAAATAATATATATATATATATATATATATATATATATATATATATATATATATATTTTGATGAATAAATTTTAATCGTTCATCTAATATCACCCTATTCTCAAGTTTGTAGTGCTAGTCTGCTAGACTTAATTTCTACCGCGCTTTTTTACAATAAAATTTAAACTATAAATATTTTTCTCCAGGGACAAAGCACCCTTCAAAATATTTCCAAACTTTAAGTTTATTCAATTCCCAATTTCATTGACACACTTTTGAGCACATAAATGTTGGAGTTAATTTCTCATTCACCCAATAACTATTTCGAGTATATAAATTTATGATTATGATCAAAACTGATTTACCTTCTTTTGTTAATTAGAAGAATCTGAATCTATTTTTGTTGAACGGAGTCAAGTCCAGTATCTTGCTATCAAAACGTGGTGCTAACTTTTATGCAAGTATAAGAAAATAAAGTTTTCCTTTCGCTATTAGCTGACCTGGTTCGAATCACATTAAAAAACATATTGTGTCTATTTTTAGCGTAATGATAAACACTTAATCTTGACAACGTTGACCCGATTAAAATCATTAGTGAATAATACTAGAAATTAAACATCAAAATGGCTACTCACAAGTTAATTAATGCCATAATTTTAACAGTATTTTAGTAGGAATGAAACACTATTTATATTTTTAAAATACTGGAATGCCTCTATCTAGGGGTAGGGTCCTAAAAACTTAAGTTTAACCCGAAGAAATTGGATCGCCTAAATTTATATATATATATATATATATATATATATATATATATATATATATATATATATATATATATATAAAAGCATATATAAAAGCAAGTAAAACAATAAATATAATGTGACACACTAAGTTTTACATTACAAAAAAAAAAAAAAAAAAAAAAAAAAAACCAACTACAAATAAAAAAAAATTAAAAAATTAAAAAGATCATAAGTTAAAGATGACTAATCAAAATTTATCAGTCGCCAACCAACCATTTGGGTATTAATTAAAGGGTCTTCTGGAAGGGTAACTTCTTTGGACTACTCATTACAAGGCATTTGGTTGGAGGGGGGAATTATGTGGGAAAGGAATTGTATAGTGATTCCATGGGAGTTGAATTACTGGGAATAAAGTGGGAATTTAAATTCCAGTGTTTGGTTGACAAGAATAGAATTACTGGGAATTTCAATTTCAATGTTTGGTATACATGGGAATTGAAAGGGAATAAGTAGTATAAAGTCAAAAATGTCCATTATTGTTGTTAGACGTTAATTTTAAGTTAAAAAAGGAAGGGGTAATGTTGACTCATCACTATCTTTTTTTCCCAGGAATTAAAATACCAGGGGGGACATGAGATTTTAATTCCATGAAAATGGGGGAATTGCAATTCCATGGAATTGCAATTCCCTCCAACCAAACTACGGAATTTAATGGCGTTTGGAATTATGTGGGAATTAAGTGGGAAGGGAATTTAAAATCTCTCCAACCAAACGCCCTGTTAGGGTTTCTTGACTTGTCTTTAATATTAGTGGTAGGATAGTGGGAAAGGAATGAGTGTGAACGAGAGATGGAACAACAGGACACGCGAGAGGACACGAACATACGGATGGCCCAATCGATGGTGCCAAACCACGGACGAAGCACGAGCGGTCAAGAAAGCCAGATGTGACCGTGGAATGGACAGTGAGTACAAGCCACCCGAACTGGGCCCCCTAAGAAGCACCGCCTTGGTGATGCAGTCCTTCACAACAAAAAATGAAGGGTGGAATTCGAAAACGACATTATTATCATTGGTAAAGCGATGGACAAACAAAAGTGAAACAGCTAAATCAGGAACATGCAGGATATTGGACATATGTAAAGATTTAGAAACTGATGGAATCATAGCATAACCAATACGGGAAATACCAAACCTATCCTATTGCCAACCCGAAGAACATCGTTGTCGGAATACTCCTCAGACTGCGTCATCATGGCGGCGTCCGGTGTGGCATGCGAAGATGCACCGGTGTCCGGATACCACGCGGTGACCTCCGACGCAGCGCCACCATCTCCACTCACGGCGTTCGCCTGGGCCGACCGTTGATCGGAGTATCGGCGGAAGCAGTAGACAGCCGTGTGTCCATGAGACCGGCAAATCTGACAACCGGCCCTTGACCACCGCGCCCTCAATGGTTTCCGCAACTGCTACCACGATTCTCTGGCCTCCTGAGCCACCGTCGCCACTCTACCGGCGTCCATGATTTGCCATCATCGCCGTTGGTGTTCCACCCGACATCTCCTCCCCTCCCAACGAGAATTCATCGGAGTATATAAACTGTTGCCTGTAAAAAGTCGGAGAGTTGCAGAAGAGACACGGGGGTACCTTTCACGGCAAGACACGTCGCCATTGTTCGGAATTTTGGCCGGAGTCCGCGGAACACGTACAGGTTCTGCTTGTCGAGTGACATGGGACGGCCGCCGAGTGAGAGATCTTCCACAAGCAACTATGCCCGACCAAGGTACTCTACCGGCGACATATCTCCTTGCCGGAGAGCCTGGAACTGCCCTAGTAGATTTAGGCAGCGAGCACGGGTGGAGGAACCTAACGCTGTCTCGATGGAAAGCCAAACATCCCGGGCGGTGGATCATCCTATAGCGAGGTACATGACCTCCTCGGAGAGCGACGAGAAAGAATGGACTGGTCCTGTTGGACCCAGACGGCGAAGGCGGGATTAGCGGTGGTGGACGTTGCCTCATCGATTGCACTGCTGGTGGCGGTGGTGGTCGCAGTCAGCACTGCCGGTGGGCATGGCGTCTCGCCATCAACGTATCCCAAAAGCTCTTGGCCACGAAGGAAGGGGATGAGCTCGGTGCGCTAGAAGAGATAGTTTCCTGTTGTCAGTTTGATCGACACGAAGTGGTGCGCGGAGGAGAGGTGGTTGGGGGTGGTCGTCGGAGAAGGCACAACGGCGGTGCTAACCGTGCGTTTGGATGAATTAGTGGCCATCGATGATGTTGGTCACGGTACGGTGAAGGAGAATCTAGAGGGGGGGGGGGGTGAATATACTCTAATTGTTTCTTTTCGATTAATCTCCTTTCGGAGATATACGCAGCGGAGATAGTGTTTTGTTTTAAAATTTCTTTGCACACTTTCGTGTTAGTGAAAACTTAGTGTTTGGTCGATATGATATGATATGCAAAGCACGAAAGTAAGAACGATAAGTAAAGAGAGATGGACAGAGAGATTTTTATAGTGGTTCGGCCAACTGTGCCTACTCCACTCTTCTTTCATAGCTCGTGAAAGGGTTTGCATTATTACTCCTAGTACAAACTACTTCAAGCTGGCTTCCTTGATGACTAAGCCGGACAGCCACTTGAAAGGTTTTTCAACTCCCCGAGTTTACTCTGCCTCTATCAACTTCTTCCTAAGTTGAGATGTTGGAAAGATAATTTGATGTTTCTCCAACATGTTGAAGCTTGTCTTGACGTCTGGATAGATCTTCACTTGAGAAAATTACAAGACTGCTTCAAGTTGTGAAGTATGAAGATGAATATGCCTTTGAAAAACTTCACAACTAACACTGGTTATGAAAAGCTTTTGGAGATGAAACTGTTTGAAGAACTTTTCTTAAGATTACAAGAGTGAGTTAACCAGCACCTTCTTCAATGGTGAAGAGAGGTATTTATAGGTTGGAAAATCCATCCGTTGGAGGGAGATGAAAATTTCAAACCTAATAACCAGTGTGTATTACTCAGTGGGCAAAGGACATTTAATGCACTTGTACTATATAGCCGTTGGAGCCAAAAGCATCATGGTTTTTGTCCTTGATCTCTGACAAAATGGTACAAGTCTTTTAATGCTCATTGTATTTAGTGAAAATCATTCCTAGGACACTTTTTTGTCCGAATGATTTTCCCATCTGAGTGATAGACAACATTCTCATTGTTTCTTTTAATGAGTGTTGTCTTTCTACAAGTCTGTCCTTGACTTGTTCACTTAGGAATGAGGAACGAAAGTTGTCCTCATCTTTCGTCCTTCCTTCTTAGACGAAGGTTCCTTCTGTAAAAGCAGTCTATCCGAAACTTGCTTTAATCCTTCTTTCGTCTGGAAGCATCTTTCGATCATCTTGCTGTCTTCAAATCTTCATGTAGACCTATTATGCTGGTCTCGTGCATGATTTAACATCTCATGCCTTTGTCACACGAGACTTATCTAACAAACGAAAAGTAGGGGTCTACATTCTATGACAGTTTGGTATCATCAAAAATCTAAATACACTTGTTCCTAACAGATGAGTAGGGAGAGAAAAGAGGGAAAGCCTATCCCAATCTGATACCAAATTGATGGTTTTATTGGGAGCGGGTCCACCATAAACCGGGTACAGGAGTACAGAACGGGGGTAGGGCGCTAGGCCCAAAATGATGCGTACAAAAGCCCGAGGTACAGGCCAAAAACAGCGACCCAAATACAAAGAACGAGGCCCACGAGGTAGGCTATAGCTAAATATGCTACTTGCAGAAATCGAACCCAGGTGGCTGGGTTGAGAGTATGAGATCAAGACCACTAGACCGTAGTGCTTGTCGTGTCTGAGTTGCCCCTTAGCTAAGGATTCGGGACCCCTATTTATAACCTGCCGCCACCCCTCCTGGGCCTCCACGTGCCCCACATGCTTTAGTCGCCACTCCCTCCTTTTCCGTACGCCAATCTGCACGTCCACCATGCTTCCGAAATTCCTGTGCCCCTTACACGCACCCCCACACCGGGCCGCCGGGCGACCCGCCACAACGCTGTAGGCCGCGCCCCCGCCACGGGGCGCCGGGCCCGCACCCAGCCACGGGCCAGGCGCGCTGGGCGCGGCGTCGCCAGCCGGGGCCGGCGCCACAGCCAGCGTCCCGCCTTGGTCGTAGGCGCCGGCGAGCACCGCCCCCACGTCCCCGCGCGGGGGAGTCCAGGCCCGCGCCCCTGGCACGCTGGGCGCACCGTGGCCTACTGGGGCCAGCGCCCCAACCGGCGGTTCTTCTGGCCACGGCCGCCGGCCACCCCGCGGCCACCTACCTTCCCCCCCTCAGGCCATACCTACCTCTCCCCTTCCGGTCCATGCTCTTTACCCCAGCCCACCATGCGTGCTTGTCTTCCAAGCCCAACAAGACTTGGGCCAACCTCCTTCTTTCACCACCCCTAGTTGGGCCAATACTTTCCCAATAAAATGGACCCCCTAGGGTCCCATATCCCCATCACAAATGAAGGAGTTTGTTACAGTATTGAATTATCTCTCTGAAGATTACAATAATACTAGTATGTAAATGTCCTATACAATAGGCTATTGAGTAGTCATGACTAAATGTAACCACATACATTCCTAACATATCTAACATTTGGCCTTCCTCGCGTACTACAAAGGATCCGAACAAGTTAAGACTACAAAATCATTTTCAGGTAAAATTTAGCAGAAGTTACAAAAACTGATTTACTAATTACATACTATTTTGGCCATCAGGCCATGCACATACACACAAATATAAAAGAAAGCTCTGCCTCATCCTCCCACAAAAGGGAGTCAAAATGAAAAAGAAAGATGCTAATCAAGAGGTGGGAGATGTGTTTTATTTCTGGTGATAGATACATCTCTCCTTGATTAAACAAAAAGGAAAAAAAAAAGGTTAGTTTATCTTGTGATCAATGACGACAGATCGTCAAGTCAAGACGAGAAGTGTAGAGTAAAAAGACACCAAAATATTAAAGGTTGAAAAAGACGGTCAAAAAGGTACTGAAATGACGGTTATTTCCATCCCATTCTTCATACACAAAATCATGTAATCACAAAAAAGCAGAGAAATCAGCTTCAACTGCGAACTACTTTGTTTGGGAATATTGATGAGATTGTGATTTGGAGAAGACATCGAACCTATTCATAACCGGGGTTGCCATCATGTCTTAGTAGTAATATATAACATATGGACTCTCGTGGTTGTGTATTCCTTCATATTCTGTTATCAAAAACTTTGAATCCTCTCCGTCTCTTTCCACCCTCTTCTTCACTATGCACCCTTCATGTGAGCACTTGTAGTAGTTCCTGCTCATATATATAAATACTTCCAATTAGTAACACACTAACAAAAAAAAAAAAAAAAAATCTTTATATTCTTTTATGAAAAAAAAATAAAAATCTAGAGAATTTGAAAAATGAAAATGTAGAATGAAAAACTAGAGAATTGTAGTGTGATGACATCTCTGTTACTATTTCAAATAAATGGTCACAGGATCGAATTCGGGTGGATGGGGCATTGAATGTGGTTATGTGGTAGAGCTTTGATCTAGTAAATAAGTTTACCTTGGATTGGAGTTACTTTTAACTTTTTTCTTCCCATACTTCCTCCACTTGTATCCATCATCCAAGATCTCAAGCTCAGTCTTGGTCCTAAAAGCAATTGACAGCCTCTCCTTCGCCTTTGTTCTATTCACCATCTGCCTCATGGACTTCCTGCTTAATTTATTTGTAAAATATAAAAAGATTAGTAATATAATCATCAAAACGATAACATATATAAGGAATAAATGAAAACTACACTAATAACTAAATAATATATTCTTATTATATTATACGTCTCATTTTACCTACCATGTTTCAATTCTGGATCCTATCTAATTAAGATAGATATCTGATCTCATCAGCCCTATCAATCTTATGACTTTAACTGAATCATTAACTTATATCTATCTCTGGGTTTTAGTGGATTATATAAAATGAGATAGATAGAATAAGATGCCCACACATGCTTAGTTCAATGGATTACTAGAGGGAGAAGAGACCAAAGTTCAGAACTCAGTAGTGACAGTGTGAGAATTATGTCTAAAGTGGGCAAATCCCTTATGCGCACCAACATTTGGTCCTGTCTACTGAGCCACTAAGTTACTGTGATTTACTTCCTCCCACATGCCCTGTCGGGCCACCTTTTGGGAGAAGAAGATAGAAGAAATGGCCCGGCAGAAGATAGAAGATAGATTAATGTTACTTACACTTCTTGCATGGGATAAGTAGTTGTGGGCATTATTCCATCAAAGCCAGAGCTGCCGGAGCTTGCAGAAGTAGTGCTACTCTTGTCTTGCACATTAATGGTGGGGGGAGGTAGTAGTGGGTGTGAGAAAAGAGATGAAGAAGAGGAAGAAGAAGAAGCAAAGGGGTTGTTATTAACAACATTGGAGTAGTGATGATCATCATTGAGGAGGGTATTAACGTAGGAAAGGTCGAAATCATAGTCATAATCTTGGAGCATTTCAGGGGGAAAATGGAGATTAGGGTTTGTATATGATGGAGGGGTAGTGGACATCATGTTTGGTCCTAGGAAATTAGGGTTCATGTTATTGGACATGGGTTTTTGAATGAAGAAGAAGAAGATGAAGAAAGAAGACTTTTGATTTGGGTGGCAGCACACCAAAGAATTTGAAGAGGTTGTTGTTGGAGACTAGCTTTGGATAATTATGCTGCTTATATATATGTATACATAATCTTAGGTAGTATCATGTGATCCTTCCATCTCAGCTTCCTTGGCAACTTCCTAGCACAATCTATGCAGCTGCCAAATAGCCCTAGATTACGTGTCACTCCATGTCACCACCATGACGTAATCATCAACTTTTCATTTTCATAACTGCTGGCTGCACTTTAATTTTCTTTATTATTTTATTTGTCCCCACTTTATTATTTTTTTAAAATATTATTTCCCCCCTCCTAAAATTACTTTTAATTTTAATTTTTATCTTTTCACATGAATCACACGATGTTACTCTATTAAACTCTTTCATATTAATTTGTGCATGAACTTTTTTTCATGAGACTTTCTTATTTAATTAACTTGCGGTGGAATTGACTGCGCAATAAATATAAGGAGTCTTTTTTTTTTTTTTAAATAAATAAATTTATTTTTTTAATCTAAGAAGTAAAATTAGTGCCAACCATCTCGTGCTCAGATGTCACCTAGGTTGGACTCTCATATGGGAGATTGTGTGTTCAAGTCTTAGTGGAGATGTTATTGACTCTTTGTGTTTCAGTACGTTTGAGAACATATACTACATTGTAATAGAGTCAGTAGCATTCAAAAAAAAATAGTAAGAGAGATTAACATTTTTCTTTTTTGCCAATCTTGATATTAAATTTGTGGCCTCTCATTTTTCACAAGTTATGCAACTTGACTACAAAACCGTATTAGCTTCTTCAATTCTTCCATATTTTGTTTAGAGGAATTTGTCAACTTTACTCGACCGTTATAATTTTAACTAAAACATTCGAAATTTACTATCTATACCAATGAAACGGTAAGAGCAAGTAAAACAATAAAGATAATGAGACGCTAAGTTTTATTTACATTAAAAAAAAAAAAAAAAGATCACAAGTTACAGATGACTAATCAAAATTTATCAGTCGCCGACTAACAACCATTTGGGTATTAATTAAAGGGTGTTCTGGAAGGGTAACTTCTTTGGACTACTCATTAGGGTTTCTTGACTTGTCTTTATTAGTGGTGGGAATTGGGATAGTGGGGAAAGGAATGAGTAAGAGATGGCAAATAGGAGGTCAGAGTGCTCTAGTGGTACTCACTCCATCAACTCGATCTTTTTTTTTTTTTTTTTTTTTTTTTAACTTGTGTTTTCGATTTTATTGAAGTATATTCTAAATTTACTTTTAAGCCCACCAAGGGATAAATCAAGTTAATACTAAATCCGAACTTCTAATGTTCGTGACAAGGGTTCAGGTGCGGGAATGACTTTCCGTGCGGTTGTGTCGTTGACGCATATCTACCTTAAGCATTATAATGACGCATTTAAGTACACAAATCATGCACTTTAAGCACTCAAACAAATAACCTTAAGAACACGAACCACGCACCTAAGGTTTTAATTAAAACGGCGCACCTTAAGTTTCACACAACTGACGCACTTAAGTATACAAATCATGCACCTTAAGAAGAAAAACAACGCACTTTAAGAAGGAAAACCACACACCTTAAGCTTTAGGTTGACGCAGCACCTTAAGTTTTAACACTGACGCACCATAAGCACACAAATAAACCATACACCTTAAGAAGAAAAACAACGCACCTTAACAACCATACAACTGCACGGAACCCATTTATATATATATATATATATATATATATATATATATATATATCACAGAGAATCCACTTTTGCATCTGAATCTCAATCTCTTGACCTTCAAATTTTTAATAGTTGACTCATATCCCATCCAACATCAACGAAGCCACAAAGAAAGTAGAAACATGACTTCTAAAAAGTGAGTTTTATTTGTATTTTACAAAGTTAGTATATATTAGTCAATCTAACTAAAATCTAATATTAATCATTCAAATACAAATTACATTAAAAAAAAAAAAAAAAAAAAAAAAAGCAGTTTGTTAATTATGATTACGGTGTAGATTTAATTTTTTTTTAAAATTATTTGTGACATAAATTTAAACCATCGATTTTATCAAAATGGTGAGCAACCAACCCACTATTTTAGTTCTTCCTAAAATGTTGAATCTCCAGGCCAACTCCAACAGAACATCTAGGAGGATGTAAATAAATCATGATAAAGGAGCCCCTCACTTTGAGAGATTGCTCCCACAGTAGGGCATTCTGGTCATTCTTCTCAAACTTCACTCATATAACCAACTGAAAACTGAGTTGCTCATGCGGGCAACACTCTATTTTAGTAACGATATGATTGGGAGACTAACCGCACTTTGAGTTTGCATAATAAATTGGGAATATCCCATCTTTTAATGTAAGGGTGTGTTTGGAAATTTAATGTAAGGGTGTGTTTGGAAACTCGGAAAATAATTTCTAAAAATCATTTTTCAAGTTTCCAGTGTTTGGATGTGCCTGGAAAATCAAGTCAACCGAAATCATTTTCCGTTGACTTTGGAAAATATGCTTGTTGATGTGGATAAAATAACCGTGTATTGATACGTGTAGGTTACAATAGAGTTACAGACGGACCGATATGATCGTATATGATGACCGGGATCCTCTCTCTAATCTAGTAAGTAGCCTAATCCAAAAGTCCCTCTCTCAAGCAATTAATGCAGTATTTATAAGGGACATGGGGAAAAGCATCCGGCCTCCCGGCATGTCGGACACGTGGTGAGCATGCACTGGGCCCTGGGGAGGCAAGCATGCAACCGTACGCGTGGCAAGCATCTCCTGCCACTGGCACGGCCCATCCCGTCCCGGCTGTCTTGCCCGCTTACCGGCTAGTCACTGGTGAGGCCTTAGATCGTTCCAAGCCGAGAGGTAACCGGTCAACCGGGCAGGGAGCCGTACCGAGCGCGTCCGGGCGGGATGGCCGGGCAGGACGGGCGGACCGTATGCCCGGGGTATATTCCCTATCACTTGTTTTGGAGGAAAATGACTTCCCATCTTTTTTGGGGAAGTCATTTTCCAACTTTTACGCCAATACCACACCACCACCACTACCACCATCAACACCACCACCACCATACCACCATCACCACCACCACCAGTACAAGACCACACTAGCACCACCCCCGCCACCATGCTTTTGTTGTTTTTGTTATTATTATTATAATATAACAAATAACACCACTACCACCACCACTACTACTACTACTACTACCACTATCACTACACCACCACCACTACTACTACTACCACTACCACTACACCACCACCACCACCACCATCAGCATCACCAACACCATCACCACCACACCACCACCACTACTATACCACTTATTATTATTGTTCGTTGTTGTTGTTTTTAATTATAAGACTTTGGTTAGTTATTTTGATATTTTATTAGTTTTTTTTATATAATTAAAATTGTTATTATATTATTATACATGTTATATTCTTAATAAAATAATTAAAATGTTTAATTATACAATTCTACTCATTTTCCAAAAAATGAATGAAACACACCAAGACAGTTTTTTAGAATGCAACCAGACACTGGATGGAAAGGAAAATGTGTTCTGAAAAATGACTCATTTTCCAGAAGTCATTTTCCTTATGAGTAAAAATAATGTACATTATGTGTTAAAATAATGTATATTATGTATTAGAATAATGTACGTTATGTGTTAGAATAATGTACATTACGTATTAAAATAATGCACATTACGTGTTAGAATATGAAACTTCTGAGATTATATAATGTACATTATATGTTTTAGAATAATGTACATTATACTTTAAAATAATGTACATTATGAGTTATAAAAATATATATTGTAGCGGGTCACACAAAAAAAATACACAAAACGACGTCGTTTTTTTATCCGGGCATGCACTATGCACTTAATAATTAACTGATACACCAAATTTAAAAATTGCTACTCTTTTAGGCCCTTAGGCTCCTTTGGGAGAGCGATGAAATTAAAGTTCAATTTTCGCAATTGGAGTGGTGGATTACTTCACTCACTTCAACAAACAGTTCATCCAAATAATAGTAGTTAAAGTAGTGAACCGTCACTATTAATTCAATCTCTATCTTAAGTATATTCTTAAAGAATAAATGTGTTTTAATTTTATTTTTCTTAAATTAATATGTAAATAAATAATTAATAAAAATCCATTATTTACAGAATACTTCAAACTAAAAATACCTAACCTGACGACGGCTATAGCACACTTATCGGGGCACTATGAACCTTCCAACTTTTGGCTCACCACAAAATCGTATAATTACATGTACATATAAAGTCAAACTTTCAAATGGGTTTGGATATTTGAAGTATTTTTCTCTACCACTCAAAAGTACATGCATTTGTTTGGGAAAAAGTATATATGAAAACTAATAATTGAGTCATACCCCAAATAGGGTCGTCAATATAAACATACTCAAAAACTTACGGTTGAATACCGCTATCTTATAACTTTACATTAAAATGTTATAAATTTAAATGTATCATAAACTATTAGAAATTATTCATTATTTGTTTTGCATATTGCATTGATATTTTCTCCCACAACATAAGATTGATCCGATTAATTATTAAATAAGACGAATCGAATATTGTACTCATCGTATTTTTAGTCAATATTTTAGTATATATTTTTCATTTTTTAATACACATCGAAATGCTATCCATTAGAAAAAAAAAAATATTCCACTTTCTTACACTATTTGTGTAGGTAGTCTAGTCTAGTTAATAAAAGTCCAAGTAAAAATAAAAAATATTTATTAATTATTATTCATGAAGCACAAGGTCTTTAGCAATGTAATCTGTTTTACTGTATCATGAAGCTTTGAATATTAAAACTACTATTATTTCCTTTTCCCATCTTTAATTAATGAATTAATTAGGGAAAAAGAGGCAACATCCTAGAGACTACTTCAATTCCGTGCATGCATCCTAAGCTATGGCCGGCTGGCTGCTTCAAGATCAACAACATCCAATCTCCTCTTATCTGTGCCTTAGAATTCAGAATTTGAAATTAAATGC